AACTACACGGTAATTTTTTTATGATGTTTTGTTTCATGATACTAGTGTCACTTCAATTGCAGGACATCGGACGAAATGGGAAAATAAGCACAAATCCGTTTTCGAGCACAATGTTGTACCCACACAGCATCAGATCTTCTGCTTCGGCTTTAAGAAAGCCGTGTGGTAGTGAAGGAAGCAGCAGCAGCAATAGCAACCACGAAGACGAAGAAGGAAAAAGCTTAACGAAAACGAAAGAGGGAGGAAACACAGAGAAGAACGATAGTGCTCGTTACGACGCACTCTTGATGGTTAAAGATGTGAAGGATACTAACTGGCTACTTAACATTGATGATGAATCTACTCAGTCTCTCATGTTGGACAATGCTTTCGACTCTCCTCCTGAACTATTCCCTCCTCTTTGACTGTTTCATTCTTTTTTTTTCCTGTTTGTGTAGTTTTAAACAAGAGAGCTTTGCTTGCAAACATAATCCTTATTCACTCTTTTTATTATTTTTTATGCAACGAAAGAGAGAAAAAAAAAACAATAAAGAAACAGGGATTATTCTACTACATATTTGAGATATTTGTTTCTTCAAATGTTTCTTGTATTTGATTGACAAAAATATACGGTTTTAATTTTTTGTTGTTGTTTTTGCACAAAATATTTGCAAGAAAAGACACTAAAGTTACCAGTACTGCGAAATTCTATAAGATTGAAGTGTAAGCTCAGTTGTAGTTTAGCTCATAATTAATTTGACTCTATAAGTGTAAAGTTACCGGTATACCGGTATACTGATTTTTTGGATTTTCCGGATTACCAATGACAACTGAATTGTCATTATTTTCTGCTATTGAGCAGATTTGTCCGGCTCATCTCTAGGAAAGGAGCTTTGGCTCAATCGAAGCATAGTGCCGTAGGAAGTTGTTTGCAAAAATCAGTTTCTTCGTCTTCTTGGTTGGTTCTTAAGCACGTGTAGCTCGTGGCACTTCGTGTGGTTCTAACCGCAATAAATTCCGGCTACTAGTTGCTCATGTACTCTTTCTCCTCCAATGTATAGTTTGCTTGACCTTCTTGTTTTTCTCGCCAGGTTCTAGATTTTGTGATTCTTAGAATCCTAGTTTTTGGTTTTATGGCTTATGCTTAGTCTCTAAAATAATCTATGTAGTCTTCTAGTTTTTGGCTCTGGATGTTCTTCGGAACTTGCCGGCTTTTGGTTTCGGAAATATTTCTGGCTTTGGGATCGGAAGGAATGTGTTCCTTGCAGATATGTGTGTACTTTCGGTTACAAGTTTGATGTAATCTTTCAGATGCCAAAAAAAAACGAAACGCATCTCCCAATTCGGCTTTTACAACAGTTTCATATGTTCACAAGGATTCGACTTGTAATGGTGGTGAGTAACGATGTTACCAAAAGCGTTATATTTAACAAACCAAATAGTACATTAACGTGATTCATGTTTAATGTTTTGTAGAAAATTGAAAAGAAAATACATTATTTTTTACACTCTCCATCGTTGTAAGATCAAATACACAAAATCCAAAATTCTAAATAAATAACAGCAAAGAGAATAGTAATATATAATTAATAAAGAGAAGAAAAAAAAGAGAGAGAAACGAACCAGACTCCTTTTGGTTGGATCCGGTTTAGAAAGGTAGTAGTAGTTGTAGTGTACCGGGTTTAAAGCTCTCTAACGTCCCTTAGGATTCATGATCTGAGAAAACACAGCACTTGGAGTGAGTCCATCTGAATCTTCGCTGGCCAAACTCCGACCACCGATGCTCATGTCTATTCCGCTGCTCCTCGAGTCCGTCACGGTCCCTTCATACGCATCAGAACTCTTGTCGTTGTTCTTCCCTTTACAGTTTCCATCGTCGTACTTAATCTCATCCATGTCCATGTCACTGCATACTCCTTTCCCGCTCTCCTCTGCGCTTTCCTGAAGCTGCAAGGCGAATTCCAAGTTCCATAGAACATCTCCCATCGATGGTCTCTCGATGCCCTGGTCTAGCACACACTTCATCGCGGTTTCAGCAAACTTTTTGAAGCATTCTGGCGTGATTTTGCCCTTGAGATACGGATCAACGATCTGATCAAGCATGCCTTTCTTGTAGCAGTATGGTGCCCATTCAGCTAAGCTCACTTGTTCCTTAGCCAGTGTCGGGTTCAAGGCTGGCCGTGCGCATAGGGCTTCGAAGAGAACGACGCCAAAGGAGTAGACATCGGATTTCTCAGTCAGTTGCTGCCGTCTGAAGTACTCTGGGTCAAGATAACCGAAACTTCCTTTCACGACAGTGCTTACATGTGTGTGGTCTAGTGTAGGACCAGTCTTTGATAACCCGAAGTCAGAGACCTTGGCCACCCATTTCTCATCCAGTAGAATGTTTGTTGTCTTCACATCTCTGTGGATAATCGTGTGTTTTGCACCCGTGTGTAGATAGTGCAAGCCCCGGGCTGCCCCGATGCATATTTCAAGACGCTGCTTCCAGGGAAGAGGAGAATTCTGGGTTTTGTAGAGATGCTCGCGCATTGTTCCATGAGCCATGTAATCATACACTAGGATCATTTCGCAGTTCTCTTCACAGTATCCAATCAACGACACAAGGTGACGATGTCTAAGCTTTGATAGCATTTCAATCTCGGTCTGGAACTCGTGTACACCTTGCTCAGACATTGGGTTACCTCGCTTGATGGCTACCTTTGTAGTTCCACCATCAATTTCTCCTCTGTAAACCTTTCCGAAACCTCCAACACCAAGCACCCGGGACTCATCAAAGTTTTTGGTGGCTGCTTTGATCTCAGCAAACGAAAAGTGACGGCACAGATTTGACGGAAGGGATGAGGCATAACTTCCTGTTGTGTTTGTCTTTGCTGAGCCAGCAGAATGTGAGTTTCCATACAGAGACAGTGGAAGCCACCCTGATGTTGCATCACTTGCAGGCTGGTAATCCCCACGTTTACGCCTGCGGTAAGCAGCCAGTACACAGAAACCGACGATAAGGGCCAAAACCACCGCACCACTGGCTGCGCCTGCAACAATAGCCGTATGGTTCTTGGTTTGACCAGTAGGCAGGCGTAGGACTTTGGTTGGATCCGCAGTCACCTGTGGACCAGGTATAGGATTGGGACCTGCCAGATTACCATCCGAAGTATTCATCTTGAATATCTCTACTCCATTAAGAAGAGCATCATAATATTCCGGCTTGCTAATCTGGTTTGGATGAAGAGCAAGCCACAGATCTTGTTGTCCCTTCCCTTCTGGAGGATTCACCACGTAATCCTTGTGAAACGCAATCCCGTTTCCATTTGTCCACGCAATCACATCAGCTGCAGGCTCAGCTGTTTGATTGTTTAGGTAGATTGTAAACACCCGTTGGTTGATCTTGGTGATATTCTCAGCAACCTCACAGAAATGAAGCCTGACGAGGTAAGTGAAACCAGAGTCAATGCTGAAAATCCAAGTCAGATTGGAGTTGAGATTGATCTGAGCAGTCGGACCCATCGACCTAGCGGTTGAATAAACATCCACAGGAGCAACATACGTAGGAGTCCCAGTAGGATACCGAATGGTCATATTCGGATCAGCAGACTCCGGAATTCCAAGGCCTGCACCAAAAATATAAGGCTGATCATCATACCACGATCTGTAAAGACCCGTATCAGCAGAAGGCGAGATATCATTCCCTCCAACATTGAGCCTATAAACATTCTCAAGAGCGGTACTGTTATCGATACTAACGGAAGTAGAAGATCCAACCATGGTCAAAGTCCCATCTGTGCTGCTATAAATATCAGGCATTGAAGTAACCTCAATCCCATTCACAAACGCATACGCATTAGAAGGACTTGATTCCGGTGTGAAAGTCATGTTCAATGTTCCACCATCAACATTCACAATAAACTCCTTAAGGATGAAAGCGTAAGTCAACGCCTCTGCAGTCTGAGCAGCACTGAAGTTCTTGAGGAGAGTGTAAGAGCCAGAGGAGACAGAGAAGAGTCCGTTCGTCGCATTGAGACCATCGTAGGAATTGGGGTAAAAGTGAAGACGCACAAACTTACGACCTGCTCCTACAGGGAAAGAATACGTGAAAGCAGATCGGAAAACCCGAGCCGTCATGTAAGGAACTTCGGGAACGGAAGGATCTTGTGTCGCGGCCGGAGATGTCTTTGAATCTCCGGAGGAAGACAAGAACTTGGATTTGACATCGGGAATCCATATACGGTTATCTGTGTCGTTTGAATCAGAAGAAGCACCGCAATTCAAGAGGATTTTGTCGGTAGGAGAGTAATCAGCAGCTGAGATTAAAGGAGATGCAGATAAAAGAAGAAGAATAGATAGAAAGGAGACACGGAATCGTCCTTCCGTGATCTCCATCGGATCAAGAACAGTCACCGGAGTAAGATCTGCTTCACGATCTACCAACTACAAAACAAAAAAGGAAAACAAGAACTTCACAGATCTAAAAATGGAAGGGGATAGATTTTTCCACAGTGGTATACGAAACTAATACCGGGAAAAAGCTTACGAAATGATAAAACATATGAAATTTGAAAGTTGAGTGAAGTAGAGAAGAACATTACCTGAAGAATCGGGGAAGAACCCTAACGATGAAATCGGAGAGCTTTTTTTTTTGGAGAAGACAAGAGAATTGAGTTATTTGGAGGAGAGAGAGTGGAAAAATAATAAATGAGTCACACAACAACATAGAAAAATAATTAATCAAAGAGAGAGAGAGAGAGTGGAGGTAAGTAATTAGTTTTAGGACGACAAATCGGACAGCATGGTTGCCTCCCTCAACGCGTTAACGTTTTTTTAATTATACACTTTTTTAATTATTGTTTTAGAGGCAAATTGAAGCCGGCTTGAAAGAGATTGGAGTGACGAAAACGCCCTTGGAATAACAGCTGTAATTACATGCCGAACCTTTCGAAGGATAATGTTGATTGATTGGTGGTATATGGGTTGGATGACAGTTCATATAAAATGACTCAATTATGTGGAAAACAATAGAAAATATCATATTTACCAAACCAACCGTGAAAAAGTATAAACTCAACTAAATAACAGAGAAAAAAGGAAGGTGTATTATAATTTAACCATTTAACCCTCATATGTAACGTTTTTGGAAATCAATCTAAAATTTAATAGGTTGTACGTATTCATAATTAGTATCCGGCTAACAATTAAAATGATATTTTAATCATTTTATTATTTGGATATATACTTTATTATCCATATTTAATAATATTATTCAAATTTTTACACAAATTTATCTGTTATATTTACAATTTATCCGGCTAATAATTAAAATTGCTCTTAAATATGTTCAATTATCCGGATACATAATCTATTATTCGGATCCGTCATCGCTTTCAGTAATCCATCGATGTTTACATCGAATCCGTCGCTGTTTTTACCCGACCCGTCACTGTTTTTCTAAATCGTCGCAACCTCCACTAACTGCCACACACCTGCATATCTGTCGCATCTTCCACTGACCGCCATACACCATCAGATTTGCCGCATCTTTCACTGACCGCCACACACCATCAGATCTGAAGCTGACTCCACGGATCTGGAACTACTTCCACTGGATCTATCGTTGCTTTTACCTACCGTCACGCACCACCAGAACCATCGCCACCGCCGCTTCCACTTGATTCGTCGTTGTCACTGCTTCCACTGATTTATTACTACTTCTACTAATTCCGTCGCATCACACCATCAGATCTCTCTACACCAACATAATTTGTTTACT